GCTCCAATACATTTATTTGACAACCATAGTTACTTGTTACGTTACAAATTAAGATTTCCATTTTAAAAAGCTAGGGTAAGTTTTGTGAAACACAGCAGAGGTTCCCAGACTTTTCAGACCATGTACTACTATGTACCAAACCAAATTTCCCAAGTATCGCTTCCCACTGCAGATACCAAGAAAGAGCCACCCCACTTGTTTATATAAGTCCGCCCCGGACCGATGTTTCTTACTTTGACTTAAGTAAGCCATCTTCTTCCATAACAGCCGGTGAGAGACTGAACGCTGTTTGAGCAAAGGTTTCATGCATTTATTTACTGTCATTATATTTATTAAGCAAAAAGTGAGGAAGTCATAGACTCATGCCGCCATCCTTCATGTAGTACTTTGAACTTTTCAGATCCCTGTACAGACTGCATGCCGCCATCCTTCATGTAGTACTTTCAACTTTTCAGATCCCTGTACAGTGTTTGGCTCTTGCTGTACTTTGACACCAGCTAAAACCCCAAAAGCTCTAAAACAGTCTGGTGTTTTTCAGACAACAGTGTTGAAGACACCAAAGTACGTGAACAGTAATGGTTCATGCGTAAATATTCAATGGGCCATGGAAAGATTATTAACATTGAAAAATATGGGCAAACGTTTTCCAAGTTAATACAATCCTCTGCTGTAAATTTGTGTGTAAAAAACATTGTGCTGTAAACACATACTCACACGTATACTAAACATAGCCAGTAGCAGTGGGCAAGCAGTGAATGTACACACACAGTGGATGTTATTTGACAAGTAGAACATTTAAGCAGGACTTCAGCCTAAGTCATCAGGCAACAAATGTTTATGAATCTCATAAACTACTTTATCAGTGTGACCAGTAACAGTATTTCCCAACTGCTTTAAATCTGTATTTTATTACAGAGATACCAGTTAACATATTTCACAATGTTACAGCAGTCATTCCTCATGGACACTGAAGCCAAAACAACCAGGTAGATGAAGGAGAACACAGCTGAACAGAGGAGGACAGAACAGAACTGGTGATACACTGTGTCAACTAATGATCAGCCACAACATTAACCCCGCTGGCAGATGAAGTGAATAATGTAGATTATCTCGTTACAATGGCTCCTGTCAAGGAGTGGGGTATATTAGGCAACAAGTGTCAGGCCTTGAAGTTGATGTGTTAGAAGCAGGAAAACTGGGTAACCATAAGGATCTGACAAGGGCCAAACTGTGATGGCTGGACAACTTGGTCAGAGCATCTCCCCAGACTGCAGGACTTGTTGGATGTTCCCAGTCTGCAGCAGTTAGTACATTAGTGGTCTAAGGAAGGGCAAACAGTGAACTGGTGACAAGTCTCACTGATGTGTGTGTGTGGAGTGAAGGCTAGACTGTGCTGTCTGGTCCCACAGAAGAGCTACTGCAGCTACTGGTAAACTTAATGCTAGTTCTGACAAAGAGGTGTCAGAACAATCAGTGTATCACAGCTCACTATGTGTGGGGCTGTGTAGCCTCAGACTGGTCAGAGTGTCCATGCTGAACTCTGTTCACCACTGAAAGTGCCTACAATGGACACATGAGCACCAGAACTGGATCACAGAGCAATAGAAGAAGATGGCCTGGTTCTTCTACATCACATGTACGGCCAGGTGTGTGTGTGTCACTTGCCTGCACCAGGATGCACTTTGGGAAGAACAGACAATGATATCTTCTGTTAAATGCTCAGTTTTTCATCAGTTATAAAAGACCAGATGAGACAAAGCAAAAATCATTTGCAAACTAGTTTCACTTCATTTCTTGCTGGCTATATTGTGACAAAATTTAAATTGACATTTTCAAAAATGTCAAAGTGGGTTGCACAGTGCCCGGGGCCTTTCCTGTGCTGAGTTTGCATGTTCCCCCTGTGCCTGTGTGGGTTCTCTCCAGGTACTCCAGCTTCCTCCCACAGTCCAAATACATGCAGCTCAGCTTGATTGGTGACTCTAAATTGCCACTAGGAATGAGTGAGTGTGGTTGTTTGTCTACATGTCAGCCCTGTGACAGACTGGCAACCTGACCAGGGTGGACTCCACCTCTCACCCAATGTCAGCTGGGACTGGCTTCAGCCCCCCAAGACCCTTTTAAAGAATAAGTGGCATGGATAGTGGATAGATGGAAAAATGTCAAAGTTAAAGCGCACGTCAGACATAGTTACAATTACATTAAACAAGTGGTTTTACATTACACAGGATGTCTCAGGTAAACTGTAGTTCACATGACTTAAACTGAAATAGTGTGGAAAATAGTGACTTAGCTGATCATAGTCCAGTGATTTGCTCTGCGTCACAACAACCATCTGTCCACCATTTCACAATTTGGTGAGAATCCACTCAATCAATCTGCTAGATAGATTATGAAGTGAATCCACTTGATTAATTCGTGGTGTAAAGAATACAGGCCCTGTGCTGAAGGTTGTCTTTTCCAGTCAGGCATACAAACAACCAGGGAGCCTGATAACAGGCAGCAGGCAGCAGGGCTCACCTTCCCTTCACAGAAGCACTTGGTGAGCATCACCACTGCATCGCATTACAGCAACACACAAAACCACAGTGCTGGTATCACTGCATACACATTTCTGCAGTCACACAACGGACATGACACAGTCATAATGACACAGTTCGTTATGAACACACAATGACAGGGTGGCTAACACAACTGGATAAACAACAACAGCTGATGTTACAGTCTGTCTTTTGTTGCACCACACACAAAGGACAACCCGACACAGTGAAAGTGGTTGCCATAGAAATAAACTGCATTATTCTCATTCAGAGGAAAGATGAATGTAACTGTGTGAGTGACATAATAACCAGCTTGTGTCATCCTGCCATATATTTAGCACAATCCCACTGAAGTTACCTCCATCAGGATTTTCACACCTGCAGTCGCTGCAGAGGAGTGTGTATGTGCCCACTGGTGAGAGCATGTGTGGATGTGCTTGTATACATCTGTGTGTGTGCATCTGCATTCTGCGACATATACACTGTGTGTGAGATCACAGAGAGAAATGTGACACCGCTGACAGGGCGTGCGTGTTCAGATGACGTAAAGGACACGCTGCTTCACGCAGTGTCTCGCCAGTGTGGATGGTACTGGAACTGAGGTGGTGAGAAATATTTATAATATGAATATATGAAGCAGCTGAATTTGCTACCACTAGAAGCTGGATACTTAAAATGCTTATAAGCCAGAGATGGAAGGAGGCAACTATTAAGATCAGTGAGTGTCAAGAGAAGCTGTTTAAAATAAGGTGAGTCACTGCTGAGACAGACAGAGGCAGCGTTTGACTAATGAGAATGGTCCTAATGGACAGTGAGAGTGGCGTGGAACGATGAAGACACAGAGCTTGTGGGCTGCCTGCCAGGCCAATCGGGACTGGGTTTGTGGATCGAGCTGTTTTTATGTAGCCAGCTCGTGCCCCTCCAGCTCCGACGCCACCACTATCTTAACAGCTCAATACCTGCATGCATGGCAGTGGATGAGAGTTCATCTGTACTGTAGCCTTAGTACTGTAGTAGTGGATAAAAGACTAAGTAAAGAAGGATGTCTATTGTTTATCACCAAAACAAATGACCACCAGTAACAACAATTCCAAAGTTGAGCAGAAAACAGTTTGTTCCTCATTCCATCAAAGTACTGACCATTCATTAAAACGTATTCTGAACTGTTACACTATGTAAGTTACAACTCTTCCAGTATTAGTACTGTTCTGGAAATAACAGCACAGTAGTGCTGGTGAGAGAGGAATAAAGCATTTCCCCTTGCTGAAATACAGGACCAGAGCATGTGGTCTGTCCATACATGGTCAGAAAGGCTCACACAGTCTGAGCTGTACAGTTGTTTTACTGCATCAACCACAATTCCTACAACAAGCGATAAGGCACTGCTGACTCACTCAACCCCCACTGGCACTCTTTGAAACCTTTTCACTGGTTTTAAGACAGTTCAGCACTGTAGAGACTGTAACCTCCATAACTAGAGCTTTGAAATCGTCATTAACATCTCCACACTGCTACAGTATTAACCTGTCAGTCGTTACAGTCAGGTTCACATGGGACCTGAAGCAGCTAACGAACGTCAGACTGAGCAAAGGATACAGTATGTTACTTTGTCTCGTAACCGAGCATGTCCAAAATATTTTTCATTTAGGACGTTTCCTACACTTAAAAAAACATTCTAATTAGTTACTTTAAACAAAGACGTTGAGATGACTTCACCATTATAGTAGTTAATACATTTTGCTTTAGTCCTTATCTGTAGACCAACATGGACTATGGTAAGCATTTAATTCTAGGTTTTCACTGAGTTTCCTGTTGAAGTAAATATAAATCAAAGACAGTTGCAGACCTGCCACACTCAGCCCAGTGAAACAATGCTCTGACTGTGTGTACTCTGTGAAAGGATTTAGTTACATGTGCAATCATGTCAACAAAGCATCTGGAAAGCAAAGTCCCAGTCATCTGCAGAGACTACAGAGACCACATGAATGCTTTCTATTTTTACTTTTGCCACAGTACCATCACCTTCTTGTTCTCTTAATTAAAATCCCACTGAGTGTTTTCTAGTCATGATAAAATGCAAAGGATTTTGTCCTGGACTTTATAGAAATTTCGAGGATTTCACATCACGTACTGAAACATGTTTAGTGTGTGCTATAGGCAAAAGTTTGAAAACTCAAACAGCATATGACTACCAAACGTAGCCGCATTTACAAAATAAGCATTTACTAGAGTATAATAAGAACTGTTTACTGCATAGAAAACTATATACAGTCATTTAAGCCAGTTGGTGGAAATGATCTTCCATGACACAGTCACTTTTAAATGACTGACTTGTTTGGCACCAGCCAACATCTCAAAGTGCACAGATCACAGCCCTATGCCCCAGAATATGCACATGAAGAAGAGGACACACATGCACACGTGTTGATCCCGTGTACAACTGTCACCACAGCCATAACTTACACTTCTCTGTCCTCCCTCTCAGGCTGCGCGGCTGCAAAAAAGAAACATCCAGCAAATCCAGCAAGAAATTATGGGAGCTCTTTCAGCTATGTCACTCCTCACTTCCGACTGGCATGCACTTGGCTGTCTGTCCTCACACACCCTCGATCCTTCTCCTCACACATTCACACACACCCCTGGCTGCACTGCACGCTCATGCGTCATATCTTCTTATCCCATCAGTGCTGTGTGTGAACACACAAGCAAGGAGAGACTACGCAGGCTATGACGGTGGTCAAGAGACAGAGGGAGGAGACAAGGAGAGGGAGAGAGAGGGAAAGATACACTCCCCTTTTTGAGGCTCCATGCTGCAGTAACAAGAAATGGTGTGTGTGCGTCTACCAGGTAACCCTACCCTGGTTAGGGTGCACCCTCTATTCCCAAACGAGTAGGAGGGTCTGTCCTGACCGGTCGAACTGGGTTGGCTGTTGCTAAGCAGTGTTAGGCCCCCTCCCTGTTATTGGTTGCAGGAGTCTGAGGGGAAACAGGGAGGGAGGTTTTGGACCGAAGAAGAAAAAGGACAATGAGACCCATTTAATCTGATGTAGTGGTAGGAAGGAGAAGTACGGGGTGGAGGGGAAGAGCCACTGGTGTGACAGTGACTGGTCATAAACAGGGTGTCCTGCCAACAGACAGCTACATTTCAGCACCCCTCAAGAGGTAGTGCTAAAATTGAGTTCCAGGAACACAAGGGGGGAGGGGTGCATGCGTGCGGAGCAGCTGCCCCTGATTGGTTAAATGTCCGCTCTTCACACCTTAGTCATTAGCACGGTGTAGAAAGGGGCACTCATACTGGTTTAGAGGTTAAACGAGGCCTTCACTTGTTGGTTTAGAGGCAAAACGGAGACCTCAGTCAGTGGACCACAGGCAAAGCAACGAAGACGTCACATTTCTGCGAATGTGTGTTCTGTTTGCTTAACAGCTGTTTGATAGACTGCTCATACAGTCTCCATTACTGGCTGATTGTTGCACTATCGAGTCACACTTCACATTGTCTGTCCTCTCTGCTCAGCCAACTGCATGTGAGAGGGGAGCAGCCCCTCTCTCCTCTAAACAGAGCCCGACACAAGAGAAAATACAATGTTAAAACAAAGCAGGACGGCCCACCTCAACCCAGGAAGTTATGCAGGGTGAAGTACGATGTATACTGCTCATTAGGTTCCAACAGTGGAAATGTACCAAAAAGCCTTCATTCCACTACCACCAGGAGCTGTCCTGAACTCAGGCTGGCTGACCAGCTATTGGCCCAGGCTGCCTGGGCCCCAATACGCATTTGTGTTTCTATTGCACAGAGTGAGCATTTCTCTTGGGGAAAACGTCATGGTGCTGTCTTTTGCTCAACCAAAACGAACATCAAAAGTAGGAGCACAACAGAGCAAACATGAATTCAACAAACTTAGATACCGTATTGGCTCTTATTTCTTTTTTTTCTCTTTCTGTGGCTGAAACACTTCCTGTTGCTCAAGTTTTCTCTGCCAGTCATTGTAGCGATGTCACTGGCCGGAGTGACTGCTGCAGGGCCATGCATCACGCTTTTCAGCACATTTTCAGCCCAGGCACGGTCCGTTTCTGAGACACTCGAAACAAGCAAACCGCACTACATTATAGGTAAAAAACGGTTCCTGTCAGGTTTGCCCGGCTGCACCTTCCTCTCTTCTCTCTTTCTCGCTCTAGTCTGCTTTTCTCTTTGACTCTCTTGATTAACACACCTGTCCTGATTTTCTGACACTCTTCAGCTGCGCCTCCTTTGTCACTCCCTATTTATACTCGGCTTTACCTTCACTCCCTTGCTGGTTCTTTCTAGTTGTTAGCCTTCGTTCCATGTCGGATTATATCTTTTGTCTCCCGTTTTTCCACGTCTTGTTTCTCATAGTTCTAGCGTCTCCTGTCACTTCTCCTGGATCTCTCCTTTGGACCTGGACTCCCTCAGCTCCACCTACCTCTTCCACAGGTCGATGCACAGTCTCCTCTCTGCTACTCCACAGTCAACCGGATCACCACCTTGACCAGCTCAGGAGTGTCGCTTTTCCTCGCAGCCCAACCTCATCACTTCATGGACAAAACCCCTTCACAAATGCTGGTCATCACCCGGTGATATTCATTTCAGTCATTCGCTCTTGTTTCTTGTATATTGTGTTGCACCCCTGTTTCACCACTGTAAATAAATCCACCTCTTGCACCGAAGCCAGCCGCCTGGGTCTGTTCTTTACTGCTCGCTCACAATTGTGTCGAGCAATCCTTACAGTTCCTGGTGGCAATGGAAAGATAGCATAATTGTGTGAGACTGTCAGAAGAACACACTGTACAGAAATTTCATAATAAAGTATGTTAATGCACCAGAGGCTGATAGATGATTGCTTGTCACACCAGCCTCAATCACTGAGCAGTTAAAAATCTGAGTGTGTGTTAGAGGAGTTCAAAGAGCCTTGAGAGTTCAGAGGGTGAAGACTTTGTTCCAAACCAGAGTGCAGGCTCGGAAATGACCAATAAAAGTCACTGCCATTGACTAATCAAATATTGGGACAATTTATGCTTATTTTGTTTCATAGGGTGATAAAGCTCAGTTGGACTCTCTTTCCTTCACGTCACTGTGCTTCCAAATCACAGTGATTAAGTTTGTGGGTGAAGCTTTTTTATATCCAATTGGAGTGATGGGCAAAAATACAAAACAAAGCCCCACACTGAACCAATAATGAGATCCAGATTGAAAAACAAATATTATTTCCATCAAAGGAGCAATAGAACAGCATCATGATAACAGCATAAAATCCATGCAAATAATAATTGTTGAACATCGCTCAGTGTTTGTATGCACAGGAAATTACCTACAGTTTGTGGTAAAAGATCACAAACTTACATAAACACACCCCTACTACTAGCCAAACTGTGATTCACTGCACTGATTACACAATCCAAGTGGGCGATCGCACTCAACTGCAGCAAAACTTCTCTCTGAAAATGACTGTATTCAACACAGATAATGGAGCAGTTCACTGCCACAGTAACACTAATATGATGCATTCATGTCCTTCATGTCATTCACTGCTATGTCAAAGAGAAAGAGAGGGAAACTGCCTAAGCAGTATTAGTGCTGCTTGTACAAAACTCCTGAATTTATGGAAATATCAGTACTGCAGTAACATGGCTAACATTAGTCACCAATAGTAGCTAATGGAGGAAATCAGCTCACCATGTACAGCAGGCTTACTTCACTGAACCACTAATTAGCTCATCACTGTAGTGAGCAGGGATTTGTTTTGTTGATGACTGTCCTTCTTACTGGGGCCACTGACCTGCTGAGAGCAGACAGCCATCACCCTACTGGAGCAGTCACCGATATTTTATCTAGAAATACAAACAGGAGTCTAAGTTAGGTTTGACACCAGGGATTTGGCCCTCAGCAGGTCACAGGTGATTAAAGAGCCTGCTAGGTTTAGAGATAGTGCACAGTCCACTCAGTTAATATGTCCAGCCAGGGAAACCCTCACAGTGCCTTATCAGACTGAATGACAGGTCTATTATATTGAGACTGTCTCTCTCCCTCATCCCAGTCCCTAATCACAATGAACTAATTATTAATATGTCCACCAGTGCCAGTGATGTATACCACAAAATACCTGATAAAATGCTACAGAACCATTTTCCCAGGCAGTCATAACTTTATCTCCATACTGTTGCATACACAGGCCAGCAAAATTCTTTATTAGAAACACTAGATGTGACATTAACACATCATCTATTAGTCATATTCCTGAGATCTGTTGCCTCCATAAAACCTTCAGGTTTAGTCTCATAAATATCAGATCACTCACTACCACATCCTTACTGAGAAATGACTGGTTCTTCAGCAAAGTCTGGACGCAGTTGGTTTGTGTGAAACTTGACCCAAACTAAATGTTTTCTTACCATTAAATGAAGCTTCCCCACCTGAGTAACCAGTGCCACTGTTACTTGAACTACTAAACAAGGTGGTGTTGTTCCCGTAATGTACAAGTCTATTCAATTTAGCCTGTGAACTGGTTAATACTTTCAACTCTTTTGAAGCTCTTTTATTAAAACCACCTCCACCACCTATAAATTGCTGTATCCATCCAGGGCAGCAGACGTCGACCATTGCACCTTATGGTGCTCTACTGACTGCTGGGCCACAGCTGAGTTTTCAAAAGAACTTGGGAGGATTCACCTCAGACATTTTGACGAGATTCTAACTGTAGGTGACGTGAATATTGACCTGAATAAGACCCGTGATCCTCTACATAAAGCTTTTTTCTCTCAGCAGTATTTCTGGTTCCACCTATTGTGTATGTGAACCTATTCACTGCAGTGGTAACACCCGTGACCTGGTTCTACTCTGTGGGATAGTGGTCTCTGATCTGATCATATCAGTTGTGTCAGATCACTTTCATATTAAATCTGAAGCCACAGTAGCCTGTGCTGTTAATGCAAATGTATTTACCACCATCATCTTCAACTGCTCTTGGTGAGCAGTTGCTGGTGGTCCTGTCTCTTTTCACTGCAACAGGCTCTGTGGCAAAACAATACCAATGACTTAAACACAGCTTTGTCTAGTCTCCTGTTTTTTTTAAATAAAACCAAACTATTGCTCAGGACTGGGTTGAAAATATCCTGCACCAGCCAGTGACACAGAAAACACTGCACAGACAGAAGGAAAATGGATTACATTAAATATCAGCAAATTCTGGATTCTGGATGACAAAGGTGATACATTATGCACCATTGGTGCCTCAAACCTGCTCTTTTTCAGAATCTTTAAATACTCTACAGACTTAGAGCTGTTCACTGCTTACACTGCATACATTTGATTTGATTTGATTTGATTTATTCTTTCAAACATGCAGAACAAATGACATCAACACACACATAATTACACAAATCTAACCAATGCTAATCCAGAATCAGTTTGCTTATACCTAGTACATGTTTGAATGGAGTAGGAAGAAGTCAGACTTATCCAGTCCTACCCCATAACATCATCTTATACAAAAAATTTCATGCATCATTGGCTGCAAGCAGTATCTCTACATAGGTGATTCTCTTCTGCACCAGACAAGTAATACACAGAAAATTTAAAACAGAGTGTTTCCTTCATGCATTCTTGATTAAATCTCTTATTCTTGCATATATCTTGAATGACACATACATTTATATTTATATTTAAACTCCTCAATTCTTGTACTGTTTTTCATGTCCACACTTAAACCATTCCATA